GCTCAGCTTGCTGGTTGAGTGCATGACGAGCTGCTACCTGGAGGTGGCTGCGACGGGGAGAAGATCCCAGGGGGTCAAGCTGAGGCTGTAAGGATGATTGGGTAGAGGGCACTTGCAAGCTGCTGGAAGGTACAGAAGCTGCTGTCCGCGAAAGACGACCTGCTTCTTGACTGGCATACAGTGTCTTGAGAAGCTCGTTCTCACAGTATTCCAAGGCCGAGTTAAGCTCAGGGAGAAGCTTGACGTCAATCCCATCTTCACCGAGACCGGCTGCTCTTAGGTGACGACCCAGTTCTTGTTCGGTGTCAACACCGCTGATAATCAGCTCGATGCCCTTGTGATTGAGCAGGCGGCTGATAGTGTTAAACACCTCTCCGGCGGAATAATCGACGCCGTTGACCAACCACAGGTCGATGATGAGGAACCGAATTGGGCGATGGTTGAACTCTTTATCGGAAATCATAGCCCTGATCTTTTCCTCCACGCTCACAATAGTTCCAAAGAAGAGATAACCGGCAAGCTTGATGATGTTGACTTGCTTCCCAGCGTCTCTAAGGTAATGTTGTTGCGTCGGATTTCTTCTTACCGTCGACCCCACCACCTCTCCGGAGTAGATTGCCCTCACAGCCGAAATTCTGGATGTTTGGATAATGAGAGCGGCAAATGCGCAAAGAATACCAACTCCGATACCAATGACGAAGTCATATGTACCCATGACGACGACAATGACAAGCACAGTCATGTATTCAAGCCACTTCAACTTTTTCCTTGGTTGCCAAACAGCCTCAATAAGCAGTTCGAAGCCTAGGTCGAAGATGAGCACTCCAACCATCATGACCGGTATGAAGCCAATCAGGGAAGGACCAATCATCATTACGAGGAAAGTGAGAACTGCAAGCATAATACCCGCCAGTCGAGTGTTACCCCCTGAGCGCATGAAAAAGACGCTGTTGGCATAAACCAGGTAGTTCTGAATGCTTCCAAAACAGCCTGACAGGAAGTTTGAGTAGCCGTGTAGCTTGAGCTCATGATCGAGGTCGGCATGATCTTCGCCGATGTTCTGTGCCAAAGCTGGAACGTTGATAGGCACATGTAAGATACCAAAGAAGGTCAGGGCAAACATTGCGGGGATACATTGCATAATGGCACTCCAATCGACTTTGTGAAACTCTGTGGAAGAAGTTAGCAATGTTTATATCTCCCATGGAGCAGCTGGGATGCTTACTGTACAAAGTATAAAAATACCACCATGGCTCACCGGGCGGAGGCCCCTCAAACACCCAGCCATGTTTTTGCAGAGTGTCTTGGTCAGGGCCGCCCAAGATGAGCAATACCAAGTAGAACAAGGCAGGTATGGTGAGGATATAGAGAGGAAGGAAATACTTGGACGTGATCTTCGTTTGGCCGTAGAACAGAATGATCGCCAAACCGAGAGGTACCGTCCATAGTGGGATAGTGTCTGGGTGAATAAGTCGCTTCAGGGTGTCGAGATCGTAATTTAGACTGCCATCCATGCGAGCCGTCACCTCGAAGCCGGTGGCAATCAAGAACCAACCGACACCACCGATACAGCCAATCAGGATATGACGCGGGATGAAACCCACGAGGTAGCCAAACTTGAATTTGCCCATAAGGTAGAAAACGGTGCCCGTGAGCATCGAGCTTAGCGCATAAGATGTGATGGTCGTTGCGATGACCGCTTCTGGGTCATCTTCGCCGACAATTTCGGTAATGGTACCAGCCATACTGTGGAAGAAGGGCACAACCTCGATCTTTGATGCTGTTAGTATGAATGGACGGTCAGAGAGATTAGACACAAGACTACTCACCAACTCGGAGCCAACACCACCCTTGAACACGCTCCCAAGGGAGAATGTCAACTGCGATATGATTGTGCTGATGTAGAAGATCGAGATACCGGCGGACCCCAAGCTCGAAAAAATTGGATTTGCCAAAGGGAAAAGAATCATGCCGTACGAAAGCGCGTCAAGGATGTTTAACAGGAGTCCCACAATGACGGCTGGTAAACATTTGACAGGTGTAACGATAACGTTCTTCCAGAGAGCGTGGCGGTCCCAGCGCTTTGGGGTTGCTGCCACCTTGGCAACACTGGCAATGCGATCCCATCTATCCCTCGCGGAAGCGGCAAGCCTTGTCGTCCATTGCCGTTTCGGACTCTTTTGATCTTCGATATCAGCATCGTGGCCGGAGCCGTTGACCATACCATAGTCATGCCGGGCCTCGCGTGATGTGGTCCGAAGCAACGGTGCGTGCTCGTCTGAAGTATCGCCTGCCTCTGCCTCCCGCTCGGTTGGTTGGACTAGTTCCGGGCGTTTCCATGACCCTCTCCTGCTGCTCTCACCATTCTCCCATGAATTATCTTCTTCGTAGTAGCCCTCATCGCTACGTGAAGCCGGCATATATATCGTACTCGGCGGCGATCTTTTCAGCATTGTGGTGAGCATAGATGGTCCCTCGGCTGTTGATTCGACATCGGTTTCTGGCGATAGGGGCTCAGATACGTTTACGTTGAGGGCGTCCTGGTGCCTACCATTACCCTCTTCGGCATCTTCGGTGCCAGTGGCCTGAGCTATGTGGCCGAGAATTGTTTGTTGCGAGATGGAGGATCGTCTTCGGTTAAGGAACGCTGGGCTTTGTCTGTCTTTTGGGTCGGAGAGAAAATAGTTCGCTAGCTCGGCGGTATCCTGGCGAACGGATTGTGCGTATTGGTAACTGTCTAGAGGAGCTGTAAAGAGATGATCAAGCACAAGTCAGTGGCATATCAACCAAGAAGGGTAGTTATCAGTTGGGAGAGGGGGAGGGAGTTATAGTCATACCTAGATTTTCACGGACCGAGCCATGGATGAAGGACCTCAAAGGTTCGCGGTGCGCAACTGAATTCACCGAAGTTGAATATAGCTGATGGGCCTCATTGCTGGTAGGATCCTCGCAGGGCCGAGTTGGGATGGTTTTGGAGGGACTCGAAGACTCTATTTCCTCCTGGGCCGAAGCATACTGCGAAACGGAGGAAGACCGTCTGGGAGATCTCCTCCATGAGGAGAAGCCCACAGCTGGAGACGACATGAAAGGTCGCAAAGAGACGCAACAACCTACAGGCTGCTATCGGTATAGGTATGCGATGGGCCGGTGCCAGATTAGGTAGTAGGTATGCCAGGTTTGCCAGAGCGGCAAGGGCAGTTGAGTATCCGCCGGGTCGTTTCGAGAATTCCGGGGTGACAAGTGGGAGAGGTGCAAGATGCCGTCACTGACTGTACGCGGGGGAGTTGACGAGCACCGAGCAACCTAATAATGCCTGGCTTGCCAGCTGAACTGTTCTGCAGACTGGACAGGATTATAGTATGATGCGGAAGCGAGTAAAGAAGCACGTCAGTGCAGAAAAGCAATGTCCTGTGGCTGGAGAGCGGAAGGACGGGAAGGAAAGTAAGAAAAAGAATTCAAGATAGGTATGTAGAAAAAAAGCAGCACCTGATGTAACCATGTAGATGTCTGCGAAGAAAAGAAAACGTGACAAATATCCTCGGATAAGTTGGGGGAAAAAAGGAATGATAAAAAATAAAAATTACGACAGGCCGAGCTATCGTAGAAGGTCCGTCCTCGGCTGGAGGCGAGTCGAGGAGTGCAGGCCGGTGGTTAGAAGCAAAATTCTATGGAGCAATCTTGTCGACAGCAACATACAAGAAGCACCGACCACGCCATGCTGCATCCGGCTGGACCTCTTTGGCCCCGCCTGCAAAGACTTCGTTGAGGCTAACAGGGAGGGATATCTGATTAGTAGTCTCGGTAGTAGTATGTACATGAGCTTTGACGGTTCGGGGTTTCCATGTTGTCCCGTCGTGCGTCGTAGCGTCTATCGTACCTAGCGCCGGAGGAAGACTGAACAAGAACTGGTACGGCCTCAATTGATCAGTTGAAAGCCAATGATACTAGGTACCTAGCAGTTGCTGGATGGCCTGGACCTGTTGTTTTTAGCTGGCCATGGTGGGGTTGAGGCCGTGGGAAGGGAAAGGCGTCATCTGCATGATGTAATCCCTGTTCCACCAAGCAGCCTTCCCAGTGCGAATTGGTTTCTCTTTTTTTTGAAATTGAACGCTGCACCCCAGTAACTATCTTTCAGCTCCACGTGTGACAGACTGACAACGAGCACACGGCAATAACGGTCAAAAGTTTACATAACCCTATGACTGTTCTTATCGCCTTCTTCAGATGGGTCGTATTAGCTGTAGTTTGACATTTCAAGGGGAGGACTAGTCAGTACCTCTTCTCTTTACTCGGGTTGCCTCTCAGTACCTGCCATCAACGGCACAATATACTGAAAAAAGGGTGTTATCAGCCGCCACAAACACAGTGTTGCCATGCCAGAAAACTTGGCCACTGGTTGGTGAAAAATTTGAAGGGCCTTGTGAAACCCCTTGCTGGCTGTCACTCCAGCCTCGACGTTCGCCGTCGTCCACCGCGGCAATTCCGTGTGGGTTCCTGAATTAATGGTCTGGACGTCAAAGTAACCTTTCCCTCATCCTTCCCGCAACCTACAAGGTGTGCTACCGTCTGGTTGTGGGCTCATGGTCCCTTGTCCATGCAAGCACTTCTCTGTCCTTCACCAACGGTCCAGCCATAGAGAAAGAGTAGACGGTAACTCTTTGTCCCATGTAGACTCGAACATTTGGTTGAAGTCACCTTTGGCCGTCATCATGGTACAAGGACTGGTCAGCTCTGTGTGTACGGCGCAACGCTTTTGAGTCGGTCCTTTGCGCTCCCTCCAACATCTAGCTGCTGATCAATGACCATTGCATATGGCTTCTGGTCAACGCCATTGAGTTCGTCACTCCCTCTCCGGTACTGTTCGGAAGGCGCCACGCCGTCAATGGTCAGGAAAAGAGGGAGGGGCCTGTCAACCTGCCGGCAACCGCTCCGATAGCAGTTTTCCATTGCTGGTCTGCAGCAACAAGCTCCGGTCTCAAATCATGCCAGGTCGATTTTATTCAACCCAGCTTTTGCAAATATCCCTGCACAATCAGACGCTCCACATCTCCTTGCCGGACATAGAACTGACTGTTCTTTGTCAGGTTGATCGCCCTTTAGACATGCGTTAGTTAGCTTGGAACCAAAGCCATCATCTACTCCTCCCTCTGCAGCGTAGCTTACCCATATTCGGTTTGGATCTCCCCCGCATCCTTCAACACTCGGACGTCGATAAAAAGGTCTCGTGGGGGTTCGAGACTGCCTGTGAGATCGATATCCGTCCATTGGCCTTTGTAGAGGGCCAACAAATCTCCAAACTGTCGAAAATAATCCTCTTCCTGGGGACTAAGACTGCTGGTGGTCCCGCCCCCTTCATTGCCCTCCGTCACGCCCTTGGGCCCTCCTGTCGTCTGGCCGGCAAGGTCGAGGATATCGGCTCCATTCCACACCAGCTCCTCGAGCTTGTCTGTTCGGATTCGGTGATAGGCGAGCAGACAGCGCTTGTTCCTCCGCATTGAAAGGTGGTTGACCAGCAGCGTGCACGCGGTGGCCTGTTCGGCGGAAGGATCAAATGACCCCTGGAAAGGTTCAAGTAAACTGGCGACGTCTTTATCAAGGTCTCGGATTTCTCGGGCCACTGCACGGACAAGCTCGGTCTGATAAGGTGGAAGATGGCTCAAGTTCTGTGTCCTCTTGGCATGCTGGACCTGGTGATGGTGTGAGTGTTCGTATCCAGGGAGGATGCAGTGAGCTTGCACAAACCAGTTTGTTGCCCAAGTCACCGTACATGGGCATGTTTTCGACTTGGCTTAAGTGCCTCTTTGGACAGTTCGAAGCTGAAAGGTGTGATAGTGGAATTGACTATGTGTGTGTTTTCTGACGCGTCTCAAGTCGCGTCGTTTTCTCGAACAGCCAGGCGGGTGAAGTTCGAGGTTCCGTCTGGATGTGAAACCGTTCTATGGCCACTAGCATATCAAGCGTTGTTAGGCAGGATAGACGCTACAAGATGGTCTAAGCACTGCACTTAAACGCGGGGTGGGCATCAAAAAAGTCCTCGGACAACCCTAACCCGAAGCAGAATACATGTATCCGAACATTTTCTTCGTCCCATTCCCTCTCAACCAGCTGCATACGGCATGTCCCAAGGCATGCGTGCAGTCAGGGCATGTATTCCTTTTCACCAACGTCGGCGACAAGAATAGGGATATTCATAAAGCAAGACTTATAGAGGTAGTAGAAGGGCCACCGTGCCTTGGAAATGACAGACGTATGAAGACGACGTCTCATGTCCTGAAGCTGATACCAGTTCAGATACATGTGAAGAATCGGAGTCCCTTCGCGCATGGTACACACATTCTACATGACTCTACGTCCAAAAGTAACTGGCATCAAGCCCTTGAACAGCTGAAAAAATACTCAATATAACATTGCAAAGCAGACTCGATATAATCTATCAACTGTCGAAACCAGCAACCTACTCGGACCACCTTGATACGCTCACCCACCCATAACGCACCGGACAATCGGTAATGGTGAGGAGGAAAGACTAGGCTCCGTAGGGATGCCAAATTCCAACTTCAGATGGGCTGCTCCATTGCACAAGCACTCGGCATGCGCAAAGATACAACAACTACGATCCATGAGTTAGCTCAAGAGCCGCGAAAAGAAGCAATATTCGAAATCGAATGAGATGCCAAAAGGGTCAGAGTCGCATAAATGCTGGTTTCGTCGTCATCTGCAGAGGTCTTAAGTCTGCTTGGTAACACGGACCAATTCGATCATCACGGGATGGGCGTGGGAGTACCGGTAACGGAGGAGTAGGGAAGGGGGTAATCAAACAAGGTGCTAGAACTTACACTAACCACAGACACCGACGCGGTGTATTTTTGGCATTGCCAGCTTTTAGCAATCTGGAGCCATTCTCTCTGATATCCCCCACAATGGCGCTGTTCAAACGCGGCGGTTGCACACGAAGAACCAACACGGGAAGAATTTCTCTCGAGCGAAAAATTTCCTGCCATTAAATACAGACAGTGCACAGACCAGGCACAGAAACCCACCGAACTGACCGAAGACTCCATCATGAAATGGGACATGGAAGCTCCGATAAGATAAGGAGCTAAGTACTGTATGTAAGCTCTCCCCCAGCTTCACGGCGTCAGTGCCACTGGAAGTTGCGAGAGCTTTCGACCTCCATCCATGTCAACGGTCAGTGGCACTACGTCAGGCCATATAAACCAGAGACATACCCTGCGTTTCATACTACTCTATAGATTCAAGTTGGATTTTAGACTAGTCGTTCCTCTTAAATAAAACACATACTCAAGTCTTAAAATGCAAACAAGGCGCCAATTGCTAGCGACTGCCACTCGGCGCATCAGTGAGGCGTCGAGGGCCTCTCTCTCACGAACCACGCGCCAGTTTCCCCGGGCACCGGCGCTGGGCGTAACCGTACCGGCACTCAATGCCACTCATCTAGCCAGCTCTCTTCGTCTTCTTCCCACAATAGCGACTCGATCGTATGCTAACGGCAGACCACGCCCCCCAGGCGGTACCCATCGCATGAACCTCGGGGGTGAGGACGAGAAACCAGCATTGGAACAATACGGTATCGACTTAACAGCAAAAGCACGAGAGGGAAAGCTCGATCCGGTCATCGGCAGAGCGGCAGAAATCCAGAGAACCATCCAAATCCTGTCACGGAGAACGAAAAACAACCCGGTGCTCATCGGATGCGCCGGTGTCGGCAAGACAGCCATTCTTGAAGGCCTTGCGCTGGAGATTGTGAAGGGCGCGGTGCCTGAAAGTATCAAAAACAGGAGAGTCATCAGTCTCGATCTCGGATCTCTTATTGCAGGAGCCAAGTTCAGGGGAGATTTTGAGGAGCGGCTGAAGAAGGTCCTGGGCGAAGTGCAAGAAGCCAACGGAGAGGTTATCCTGTTTATCGATGAGCTCCATACTCTCCTTGGTCTCGGAAAGGCCGAAGGCTCCATTGATGCGTCGAACCTCTTGAAGCCAGCTCTTTCTAGAGGTGAGCTTCAGTGCTGTGGTGCAACCACCATGACTGAATACCGTCAGATCGAGAAGGATGTTGCGCTCGCTCGCCGGTTCCAGCCCATCATCGTCAGCGAGCCGACAGTGGAGGATACCATTAGTATTCTGCGCGGGATCAAGGAGAAGTATGAAGTTCACCATGGTGTCCGTATCACTGACGGAGCACTGGTTGCTGCCGCTACCTATTCCAACCGTTACATCACCGACCGTTTCCTTCCCGATAAGGCCATCGACTTGATGGACGAAGCCGCCAGCTCGCTTCGCCTACAGCAAGAAAGCAAGCCCGACGATATCCAGCGGTTGGACCAGAAGATCATGACCATTCAGATTGAGTTGGAAAGTTTACGAAAGGAGAAGGACGTAGCCAGCGTCGAGCGCCGCGAGAAGCTCGAGGCTGACCTGAAGAAGTATCAAGATGAAGTCGCCGTACTGACGGAAAGGTGGCTGAAGGAAAAGGCCGAAATCGACAGCATCAAGCAAACCCAAGCAGAGCTCGACAGAGCCCGCATTGAGTTGGAGCAAGCACAGCGAACCGGAAACTTTGCCAGGGCTTCGGAATTGAGATTTGGCGTCATTCCAAACCTGGAAAAGAAGCTACCCAAGGACGGCGAAAGACCTACCCGTGATCTCTCTCTCATCCATGACTCAGTCACTGCTGACGACATTGCCAACGTCGTCTCCAGAATCACCGGCATCCCCATCTCCAAGTTGTCCAGCGGCCACACGGAGAGACTGATTCACATGGAAGACATTCTCCGCGAGTCTGTCCGCGGTCAAGACGAGGCCCTGAAGGCGGTTGCCGACGCAGTACGAATGCAAAGAGCCGGCTTGAGCGGCGAGAACCGCCCACTGGCCTCCTTTTTCTTCCTCGGCCCCACCGGCGTCGGCAAGACAGAGCTGTGCAAGAAGCTCGCCGGCTTCCTCTTCTCAACCGAGACCGCCGTCGTTCGCTTTGACATGAGCGAGTTCCAAGAAAAGCACACCATCTCGCGCCTGATCGGTGCTCCCTCCGGCTACGTCGGCTACGAAGACGCCGGCCAGCTGACCGAGGCCGTCCGCCGCAAGCCCTACGCCGTCATCCTTCTCGACGAGTTCGAAAAGGCGCACAGAGACATCTCGGCCTTGCTCCTTCAGGTTCTCGACGAGGGCTACCTGACCGACGCCCAGGGCCACAAGGTCGACTTCAAGAACACCATCATCGTGCTCACCTCCAACCTCGGCGCCGACATCCTGGTCGGAGCCAACCCCATGGTCCCCTACAAGGAGACGGAAGACGGCGACATCCACCCCGACGTCAAGCAGGCCGTCATGGACGTCGTCGCATCCCAGTACCCGCCCGAGTTCCTTAACCGCATCGACTCCTTTATCATCTTCAAGCGTCTCGCTATGGAGGCGCTCAGGGACATTGTTGACATCCGCCTGAAGGAGCTCCAGGAGCGACTCAACGATCGCCGCATCACCCTCGACGTTCCCGAAGAGGTCCGCCAGTGGCTGGCTGAGAGGGGATATGATCCCAAGTTTGGCGCGAGGCCGCTCAACAGGCTCATCACCACCGAGATTGGAAATGGGCTTGCGGATAAGATTATTCGTGGACAGATCAAATCGGGCGATAAGGCGGTGGTGGAAATCAAGGAGGACAGGAGCGGACTGAATGTTTACGCGGAGCAGCAGGAGCAGCCTCCGGCTGCCGAGGAGGCTGAAGCTGAGGCTTAGACTGCTCCTGAAGCATGAAGTGGCCCATTGCTGCTAATCTGATCCCAGGTTGACGTCGAGCAGTTGTATCTTTATTGTATCTCATTTGTTACTGGTTCTCCTCTTATGTTACATTGCATGGTTTATGGCCCGGGAAACAGGACGATAAAAGGCATTGGAAGTGTAGTTTATACGATGTAAATTTGATATCTGCATGTAGGTTTCGCATGTCTACGCATGAACAACATATCTCGTAGAATGGCATTCATGATGACACTTCTGGGATGTGTACGACCAGTTGGTGGGATTTGTGATTTGTGTGGTGTCTGGAATCAAACGAGTTTGTCTCCACCGATACCGGCAACGTTGTTGTGTGAGACCTTAGTGGTGAGTCATGCCTACTTGAGGTTAGCCACAGCTCGTCGGTCGTAGCAGGGCGCTAAGGAACACATGTTTACAGCATGGACTTGTCGTTTTCAAGGTCACAGAAGAGTATCAACATTGGCATCTATACACAGCGACATGATATCACCAACACTTTGCGTTAGAGGCTAGGGATGCATCCAGAGACATATTTAAACCTTTGGCTGATGCTCCTACGGTTTGTGTCCTCGTCAGTTAAGCTGGTAAATTATTTAGGCTTCAGGGGAAAAAACAAAAAAATATGGCACCAACATGATTCGAGCCCTCTACCTCCCTCACCCTGGCCTACGGAATGGTCTGGTAATCCAGCTTTATCTTTTATTGTTTTTGGGTACCTTGACGGACATGGCAGGAGAAAAAACGGTACCGGTCAACATCAGCAAAAATTTACCAAAAAAATTGGTAGCGTCTCTTTGAGTAGCGTGTCATCCTTAGTGCAGGGGCCATGCTAATCTTCTCTGTATCGTTTCAACTGTTGGTTTCATTAGCATCACATCATACCGCTTGACCACGAAACCGACGGGCAAACTTACATTGACCAAATTGCCCCGAAGGGCGAAAATGCAAGCAGAACCTGGCCACTATAAACCCCGTTTCAGAACCCTCTAGGCGCTACACACTGCAAACTGCACACGCTACAGCGCGCTCCTAACACCTGCAGCTGGCGATCGGCGCCGGTGCACCTGCCATGCGTCCACTGGGCAATTGATCGTCGGGCGCACAACCCACAGCCGAGGGAAAAACGCAAAAATAAAAAATCCTGTAAAACAACCTCTCGGGATGACAGCCCAGGGCAGATGCAAAACGCACGAGCCTTGTTCTTGAGATGCGCAGGAGAAACGGCCGGCTGGAAGCACACTGATACAACCTTCGCGCAAGACAACAACAACAACAACAACAACAAAAGAGGAAACAAGGCAAAAGACGGTTCACGGGAATTGAGAAGGGGATCAATCGGGAGAAGTGGAAACAAAAATTCTTGTACAGATAGTGCGGCAATTTGCACTTCTGTGATAACCAACTGTACCCGAATATGTACGCAGTAAGTAGAGGTACTAGGGCCTCCCTGAGCAGACTGCGGGGCTAGCGCCCGAACCCGGCGCATCCATTGAAGGGACCCACTCGGGGGGGAAACCGACCTTCTCGCCCACTTACACGCAGTAGCAGCCATTCGACCCCGCCAAGGGTTCTTAGCACGAAGAATTATTTCCGACCCCTCCATGATGTGATCGACTTACCTATCGAGCCTATGTACACTACTTGCAACTACGGGTCGCGATCGCAAGTCCCACTCTGCCCTCTCCACCATCTTCACTCGTGACTGTACTCGGGCGAGGTGCTGTCGACTTGAAATTCCAGAGGCCCTGCCACTTCTTAAGCTCTCTCTCCCCTCTTTCCCTTGTCGTTTTGCAGCACCAGCAGTAGCAACGATCACGCTGTTCTACCTCGGACAAGCCCTCCTCCGCCTTTCTCGACCACCAATCCCCCCTGCCGTCACCTCGGTCGCAAGAAAGTGGTTCGCAATGGCTGCCAACCAGAGAATCGCCATTGTGTCGGTCTACGACAAGACCGGCCTTCTCGACCTGGCCAAGGGCCTCGTCCAGCACAATGTCCGCATCCTCGCCTCTGGCGGTACCGCCAAGATGATCAGGGAGTCTGGCTTCCCTGTCGAGTAAGGATCCCTCTTCTCGAACCCGTTTGCCTTTGGTGATGTGATCTGGAGGCATTGGCGACAGCGCGCTGACAGCTCTCTTTTCCTACGTATTAGGGATATCTCGGCCATCACCAAGGCCCCCGAGATGCTGGGTGGTCGCGTCAAGACCCTTCACCCTGCTGTCCACGCCGGTATCCTCGCCCGCGAGCTCGCTTCGGACGAGAAGGACCTCGCTGAGCAGAACATTGAGAAGGTTGACTATGTCATCTGCAACCTCTACCCCTTCAAGGATACCGTGGCCAAGATCAACGTCACCGTCCCTGAGGCCGTTGAGGAAATCGATATTGGCGGTGTTACTCTTATCCGCGCCGCTGCCAAGAACCACGCTCGTGTTACCATCCTGAGCGACCCCAACGACTACGCCGAGTTCCTCAAGGAGCTCGAGTCTGGCGAGATCAAGGACTCCAGCCGTCAACTCTATGCCCTCAAGGCCTTCGAGCACACCGCCGACTACGATGCTGCCATTTCCGATTTCTTCCGCAAGCAGTATGCTGGCCATGGCCTCCAGTACCTTCCCCTTCGCTACGGTGCCAACCCTCACCAGAAGCCTGCTGCTGCCTACGTTAAGGAGGGCAAGCTTCCCTTCACCGTTGTCAATGGTGCCCCCGGCTACATCAACCTTCTCGATGCTTTCAACGCCTGGCCCCTTGTCAAGGAGCTCAAGAAGGCTCTCGGGAAGCCCGCCGCTGCCAGCTTCAAGCACGTCTCTCCCGCCGGTGCTGCTATTGGCCTTGAGTTGACCGCCGATGAGCGCAAGGTCTACATGGTCGATGATATCCCGGGTATCGAGACCTCTGGCCTTGCCCAGGCCTACGCCCGCGCCCGCGGTGCTGATCGCATGAGCAGCTTCGGCGACATGATTGCTCTTAGCGACGTTGTCGATGTTCCTACCGCTACCATCATTAGCAAGGAGGTTTCGGATGGTGTCATCGCGCCCGGCTTCGAGCCCGCCGCCGCTGAGATCCTCAAGAAGAAGAAGGGTGGCCGTTACCTCATGCTCCAGGTTGACCCTGAGTTTGAGCCCAGCAAGAGCGAGACTCGCACTGTCTTTGGTATCACCCTCGCCCAGGGCCGCAACGACGTCGAGATCTCCCCTGAGACCTTCTCTAACATCATCACCCCCAAGGATGGCACTCTCCCCGAGAACGCGCAGCGCGATCTCACCATCGCCACCATTGCCGCCAAGTACACCCAGAGCAACTCAGTCTGCTACGCTGCTAGAGGCCAGGTAGTCGGTTTGGGTGCCGGTCAGCAGTCCAGAATCCACTGCACTCGCCTTGCTGGCGACAAGGCTGACAACTGGTGGTTGCGCTTCAACCCCCGCGTCATTGGCATCAAGTGGAAGAAGGGTGCCAAGCGCCCCGACAAGAGCAATGCCATCGACCTTCTCGTCAGCGGTCAGCTCCCTAAGGATGGTCCTGAGCGCGAGTCGTTCGAGGCTCTCTTCGAGGAGGTGCCCGCTGCCTTCACCGAGCAGGAGAAGAACGAATGGCTGTCCAAGCTCACTGATGTCTGCGTCTCTTCTGACGCTTTCGTAAGTTCACCCCCTTCTGTTGACTGCCAGTCGCTACCATTATTAACACAACTGTATTAGTTCCCCTTCGTTGACAATGTCTATCGCGCCGCGCGCTCCGGCGTCAAGTACATTGCCGCCCCCAGTGGCAGCCAGAACGACAGTCCTGTCTTCGAGACCGCCGAGAAGCTTGGCATTACCTTCGTCGAGCAGAACACTCGTCTGTTCCACCACTAAAGTCGCCAAACTTTTCCAAACCTAAATACCTTGAAACACTTCGTAACAGAAGATGGATGGTTATGATTGATACCCTTCTCGCATAAATCAACTTTGCGATTTTTTCTTTGAGTTTACAAAAAATGGCGAAATGTACTTATGACGACCACTACTTTGAGAGAGTGGTTGTTTACGGGATGGTATACAGGACTGGATGGAACGGCTGGCTATGTTTGCTCTTTTTAAATGGGGATCCTGGGGGAACACAAAAGTTCAACACTTTTTCTTTGCTTGATGAAGCACTTTCTCCCTGAAGCCAAAGTCGTTGATGAAGTGATGATGATGATGGCTTGACTGGCAGAAAGCGCCTATCAAATTACCTCATGACACGGAGGGCTGATTTCTTTCATGATGACGAATGAAAGAATAAAGAAAAAAAAAAAGAAAAAAAGAGTTTTATAATCCTTCACTCAAACTATTCAATACTTGATTATCCTTGGGATCTTATAATAAGCCCATGTTCGTGAAACCGAATGAGATGAAGAGGGCGAACAGCAAGCAGTACGCAACAACGGCCGACAGAGTCGAAGATATACATACGTAGACATAGCATACTAGTACTAGAACTACCTCTACTGACTGAATCAGAAGCTGGTCTGTCGTCCTCGTCATCATCGGCATGTAGATACAACATCTGACTTCCGGGGAGCAGAATTTTCCCCAAACTCGTTTCCATGGCGCTAGATTAGTTCGTTGAACTCCTTCAACGGATGATACAGTATCGTAAGATGTCGGAGGCGAATTTTTTGAGTGGGGAATGGGAGAAGAGGATTGGCGCGACGGGAGAAGAGAAAGCCGATGGAGAATTCCTAGTGAAGAAAACGAGGTGGTGGGGGACGGTTGGGTAGTGTTTTGCCTGGAAGGACGAAGAAGTGGAGGAAGTTGAGTGGGTTGAGGTTTGAGTGGGTGTGGGGAGATGAGTGAGGACGGTGGGTGGGGGAGAGGTGCTGCTACATATCACCATGATCACATGCTCAACAAGTAGAAACGGTATCATGTTCTCTGTCTGATCATCCAGCATAGCATCACCAGGGGCAGCTATATCCCTTCTTCCGTCACTCTCCCTATTCACTACCCCTTCTTTCACTCGGGCTTGATAGGCAGTGCGGTGGAGGAGGACGGTTATCTACAGGTACATTCAACACCTCATCGCCCCGCCCTTCCATCTCCGTGTTCCTAGAATTAGTGTTCCCAGTGATTTTCTCCTTCTTCATATAGGAATTATCCGCTACCATCTTCCGCGCCTCCTGGTTCTGCAGTTCAATACTCGGTGTCTGCGTTTTGCCAGAGGTAAACATCTCCGAAAACCTCCCCCACAGCCCCTTCGGCTCCTTCATCGAGAATTCTTCCACCCATTCCCGAGGAAACCAACTTCTTTTCCTTCCAGATCCACCCCAGCTTCCTTCCATGTCCCAGGAGGTGGAAGCAGAAGGTGTAGATTGTGTAGGTGGAAGAGAGGCGGAAGGGGCCGGACCCGGACGCGGAACCACACGGAGATGCACGATAGGATCATCCCCTTCTACCAAATCCGCCAAGTGACAAAGTTCCTTTGAGGACTCAATCAGTCGAACGTGTTTTTTGTAGACTGGCCTTATGTCTTGTAGGGTAGGAAGCAAGAAGCGGTGTTCGAAGAGGGAAGCGCAGAGTAATCGTTTGATTCGTTTTTCGTGCCATTGCAGGCGGTCTGAGGAGGTACATTGGCAGACTAACTTGCCATCCTCATTGGGGGTGAACTGGTCATTGTTACAACCACAGTCTCGGTTGAGGAGCTCGATGCCTTCGGGCATGGAGACGAGGAAATCTATGAAACGCGGATGGATGGGAACAATGGCGCGGTTGGCGAAGGGGATGAGGTCGGCGTAGTCGTTTTGCTCGTATTTGGTCTTGCCATTCCCTGACTTTAAGCTTTTGGGAGGCAAGACTTGGTGTTGAGGTTCCATATCCTTCAGCACGACGAAGGGGTATAGGTCCTTGTTGAGTTTGTTGGCTGTTAGTTGGCAATTTTGCCAGAGACGGTCAACTGTTTCTGTTGAGGGGTAGAGAGGCAGTTTGTTTCCCTCAGCCAGAACAACTTCAAGGAGGGACAGGGGCCGATTTTTCAAACGGACCGAGGTGAAACGATAGGAGTGGTTGTGGGCGAGGATAAGGTTGAGATAGTATGAGATGTCGCGGGAGTCGTTGAGTTGGTTGACCCAACAGATTTGAGAGAGCATGGAGCTGTAGAGCCTGAATGATCTCGGTAGATGGACGTCAGCATCAGTTCTGTCCCGGACCAGAAGGGCATCGCGTTCGTGAAGTTTTCCGAGTTCCAGTTCTTGATCGTAGCACAAATTCTTTTTGCTGTCATAGCATGGAAAACAGGAGGACCAACAAGACGGCACTTCTTCTCCATCTTCATCAAACTTGGTCTGGGAATGACGATCCAAAGCGTCTTGTAACACTTGGTAACACCCGTTGGCTTCCCTCACAATTTCTTCCACCATCTCTTCCATTCTCTTCTGACGCCATCTCGGGGTCTTCGTGCTGTAACCTTTCTCCAACATGCCGAACCTGTAGCGGCAGATAAATTTCATGTCATTGCCGTTGATGTCCTGGACACGAAGCATCGGGGCTTCCACTCCAACTGTCATGACTGACCCAGATTTGATGACTTTGCGAGGAAGCTGGAAGTCGTGGAAGTCTTTTTCCGGTCTGCTCGCTACGATGATTTTGATCGAATTCGTTACGGACATGGCAGCTGTATTACCCCCGGCTTGTTCTCCGTCTTTGATTTTGTGCCAAGGTTGGATGTTGCGAACTTTCTCAATGAACTTTGTGAAGTGGAAATAGTCCGCGTTGTTATCCTCCCAGGTCTGCGTTCTGAAACCTGATGGTCCATCTAAGAATATGTAAACCGGTCTGAACGAATCTAACCCGGTCAACGCCGCAATGAAGTATTCCTCCAACCACTTGGTTGACCAATGCGAGTTTTCCGTGGGAATGAAGTTGTCCTTCCATGCCTCTCGAGGGATGTAGCTGGGTAGAGGAACATCCACATCGCTCATGCCCAGTAGTTTGTACCACCTTTGCATGAAGATACTATCAAGCACCAATGGCTCTTGCTCGAAGAGTTGGAGAAGCAGATCGTTGAGCATGTACCGATGAGTGTTGTAGAACGGATCTTGTCGGTCTTGGTAGAAGTAGAAGAGTACAATTGGGTCCCGATCTTCTGTATTTCCGATGGGCTTGAGAATAGAACGGTTGCGAAGAACCGTATCAACGATCAGCCTCATCAAAACGCTTTTACCAACACCAGGATGACCAGAAATCCAGAAAAGATTTTTCTGGGCCGTGGCGTTTTCTGTGCTGTTCTCCGGAATAGCTTGAAGCCAGTTTATGAAGATCCTACGTCCATCCTCCGGTTCAGTGCTTCCGTCGTTGTCAGTTGCCAGTATCCATCGAAGCGCACCGCTCTTCATACTGGGTTTCCGAATGCGATGATACCGACCGCCTCGCTTGGGGCTGAGTTTCAAGCTGTTCAAAATATGAGATCGAAGAACGCCAATTGGAGGCCGGTACACATAACTTTCCCTAAAATCCCAAAATTTGTCATTGTATCTGGGACGGGACATCCGGATATGAGGTAACAGCCCATCTGGTAACTCGGGCAAAAGGCCGAGGATTTTGTTCGGCTCACGTCTTAGTCCAGCTTCACCATCATCGTGAAGAGCGACTACCAGGTTACACACGTTTTGTTCGATATCCTCATGAGGCAGGTAACCAGAGGTAAAGTGGCTGCAGTTGCGAAGAAAAGCTGCTTCTTGTTCGGAACTGTACGGTGGCGTAGTGTATTAGCATGACATCCATCCGGTCATATCGTAAGCATGAATATGTACCATATTGTTCGGAGAAAGCTGGGCTCCAGGATCACTTCAAGTATTTTATGCAATTGCTGCAGTTTTGGCTTCGTCTCTTGTCTAAGCGCCGAGAAAAGGGAATCCAGAGTCAGTGTCTTGCAGCGTGGAAAGAAGATTGGTGTTGCCTTACGAGTCCGGGTTCCTGGTTTTTACCAAAGACTATATGCTGTGTTAGACGTCTCGTTGTAGCTATCGCTCGTCTCATGATAAGAGGGGTGCGGTACACCATCCAGTACTTACCTCGTACGTATCCCGTAGTACCATCGAGTATGCAAGTATTTTGCTATGCAACACTTGTATTGACGCTACTTTCGGCGTTGCCTCGTAGACCTTTCGTAAATGGCAAAGAAGGAGATACTCACACATTGTATCAAAAGAGTCGTGGTATTTGGCTGCGGTTCGATCCTGGAACACTAGGTATGGCTGGAGTTCATCGAACATCTGGACGGTATAGGCTACCTTGGTAATCAACTGAAGGGCTGCAAATGCGTCCATTCTTACAGAGTCGCCAGACTCGGGACGGACATTCATATGGAGATCCGTCCAGTCACCCATAGCATGGCCGGTACGATATGGGGAATAATAGCCTGCCATCTCCGTTGGTTCGGGTGAATTTTCCGCTGGCGCGATGATATTGGCTTGGGCAGACATCGTGGTAGGAGGCAAGGCCTTGCCAGACTGGAGAATGTTCGTTCGTCAAAGAAATGAATTCCAGCTTGGGCTTTCTACTTCTGTTCTTGTGGATGTCCGAGTCAATCTGCTAAGTATATACGCATGGAAATGAACTGACCTGCCTCTCTGTCCCTGGTTTCCATGACTGGAACAGAACACCAACCCGGGCGGCTATCCCACAATGATCACGCTCACATATCTTCTGTGCGAGGCGCGAGTCTTTGTTGAAAAAGGTGAACCAACACCAACCAAGACCGACAAAGATGAACCAACACGACTGAATGACCATCCTTCAATATCGAACATCTGGTGAAAGAAAATCACGGAATCGTTTCCGACGTGCCTTCTGTTATTTTTCGCTACATGCCTGCGCTGCCTGTAAAAGCGTTACGATCGATTTTGCCAGTTCCAAGTGCCGGAGGTCATTCCTTTCCCTCATGGCCATGACGCACCACACTAAGTGGTAAGTCTGGGCAACCTCGCAGTCCCATCGATTACTGCGGCACTTGTTTTCTGTGGATTGAAGTGACGAACTTACTCGAAGAAATGATAGAAAGACGACGGAGTGATGCGAGCCTCCAGTCACAAACACCCTCGGAAAAAGCACAGTATCCAACCCTAACCCTGTTGACAATTAGCTGTATACGATTGATGCTGCGAAATCATGATGAGCCCACAGTTTACAGACAAGGATACTGCTTGCACAAACGAAGGCCAAGATCTGGTGATGGCTTCAACATCATCAGCTTCATCATGTAGCTGTTGGAAGATCGCACAACCACACTGCCATTCTTATCAAGTGCTGACGGTAACACTTGTCCATTTTGGGGTTCTGTAAGGAGGGGAACCGCAGTTTGAGGTCATTATGGATGACTCACCATGCACCATCTTCTCGTTTTTTCACCAGAATATGAGTGAGAAGGGGCAAAAAAAAAGAGAAAAAAAAAAAAAAGGTGGTTGGGCAGGAACACATCTGAATAAAGAGAGCTCCTTTTGCCTAGGTGCCAGCTACTACTGAATGCGGGACACTGCCGTGCCTGGTGGCGATGTTGGTGGTCGGTTGGCATCGGTACAACAACCACACATGCCGTCAAGCTACCCCCCTGAATCAACTCACTCGCATGCGTTTGCCGTTGCAAAGACTTCAACTGCCAACCAACTTTCACTCTTTCTTTCTCAGTGCACAAACAATATTGCACAGCCGGAATTTGGATGCCAGTCTACCCAACAGAACAGTTGTCAAGTGGAAACGCCAACTCAGAACATGCAGGTTTTCACCAAGAAATTGAAGCTGTTTCGAAATCGCAAAGAACCTAAAAGGAGTACAAAGACCAGAAAGACCGATCCGCTGCGAGGTGAAACCTCATTCGAATGCCATATCTCTCATCATCCCATGTTAGATTCCAGTCTTCTTATCAAACCCACCCTCGCTAATCCATGCTAAGCCTAATGTTATCTGGGAAAGTAGCGTCTGTACTTATTTCACCACAAGTTCCACGAGTTCCTTACCCGAGATACTTGGTTGCCTTAGCATCGGGAGGCCGACACAAGATTTACCTGCCAGTTTCCATGATAGGTACATTTATTATGTAATGATGCCGAAAACTAGAACAACGGGACTACCAAATCGTTTGACTCGATACGTACCTTCAACGACACTCCTATGTAGGGCCTACAAACAGTTCTTGGCATACTCTTCTTCTGCCCTTTGTTCCATCTTCCACTTGTCCATGTGTATCTTATTCATCCTTCGAGGTCTGATCTCGGGATTTCTTGTTCCGACGAAACCAACGCCGAGACTGTAATGCCCATGCCGCTAAGGAGAAAACGCGTCCCCTGAAATCTTGCAGACAGATGACAACTTCTGATGTTATGAGAAACACGACCCAAGGGAAACGGACTCAAGAGAGTTCCCAGACAAAATGCCATCCATTATCATCTTGGGCATGTTAGACGCATATCAAACACAACCCCCCTGGTCCATGCTGAAGCTGGAGTAATCTGGGACAACATCTTCTTATTTTATGCCAACATCCATGAATTTCTGACCCGTAATAGGGCTGTCCTGGCATTCAGAGGCCGGGCTTGCTTTTCCAATTCGGTGTTGTAGGCAATGATCCTGAAATTAAGCACAATGGGGACCCGGTCTCAATTGGGTCGGGGTTTGAGGGACACTCGCCTAGAATGGTATGCAGCACGTGTGTTGTATTGAGCTCGCAACCAGTTCTTTGTTTTTGCTTGCTGTCTTTGCTCCAGTTGGGCGTAGTTTGAAGTATGATCGGGGATAGTGATGCTCCAACGAAAAGTTGGAGGGAAAGCGAGACGTCGACGCTACCGTAGATGCCCGCGCGGTCAAGAAACCATCCCCTGTCAAGACAGACAGATAATTCCTAACATTATAAGCTGCTCTTGTCCACTCAACAAGCGCATACGAATATCGATGGTAGAAGACTCGTGATCCCGTCCGCTCTCTCATAGTCGTCTTGGTTTTATGGTTTGCCTGGTACCTACCTAGTGCTGTGTCGGTTCTCTGGGAGTGAATTCGATAACATTGAGAAGGGGAAACAACTTTACCCTGACAATGGATCACAAGGATCATTGCGGTTATATTTGTTTTAACGTACACTAGGTAGGTATTTGACCGAGTTACCGGCTACATACCGCCGGGTTTCAATGCCGGCAATTAGCTCTGGCAGCTCCAAGACGTTGATGACACTTGGTGTAGTAGAGTTTCATCCAACCTCGCTATAGTACACTAGAGTGTGTTACTATAATCTTTACCCCTGGAGTTGCAACCGCCCCTTGTGCTAAACCCTACTTGTCGTACGCCAAGCCAATTGAGTGCCGGATTTGCAGACCCATACTTGAACTATGAACTGCTAATTACAATAGTAATGGCCAGATTTTTGCATTAACAGGGGCTAAGCTTTGGTGGGTGCGACCACTTATACCCCTGTATCGGGGCTCAGCGACCCACTTCGGTCCGTCCACAGTCCTTCAGTAGCCTAGAATGCTACATACTTTGGGTCTACCTATGCTGGATCCCTCTTTTACAAACAACACCCTACTTATTACAAGAATAATCGCTGCCTGGAATTGAATTGCATGAACAGGGGTAAACTCTAGAGTTCCCTTAACCCGAGAGATTGGAACTAATTCTCCGTAGCTATGTAAACGAAAGCCCATTGGCGTTGCACTAATGAAGCCTATCTCTTGAGGCGAGCAGATTGATCAAGTTGATGCGCCCCACACACTCCCAGCAGTACTTGACAGTTTGGATGTCAGCTAGGAAAAACTACGATGGGCACTGGTAGACGCTACCAGGGCTGGAGCATTGTAGTGTAGATACGTACCTTCCCGTCGTGCTTCAGGTGAGTCCTGCACGTAAGGCGGACCAGGGGCACCTTGTTGGCTCTTCATCCCATGCCGCGCTAAAATCACTTTAGCTTCAGTTGTCAGTAGCTCCGGGGGTTTAACTACGTACCTAACGGCGTGTATCTAGGTAGGCTCGCACTGACTACACGGGTACAGTATCAACCGCTGAAAGTGCAAACAATACGGGCCGTTAGACTCTGCACTTTGTGGGTGTTGGGTGTTCGGCACGCAGACTGTGTAAACGGCTTCCCAGAAAATGGAACTTCAAAGCCCCGGTAGCCGGGCAGCCGGGCAGCCGGGCAGCCGGGTATAAATATCATGCCACCAAAACTAGACCCCTGCGCAAGTGCAAATCCGGGCCAGAGTCTGTGGGGGTCGGTGTTGCGTGACGGTGGGCTCGCTCGCTGTCTGTCGGCATTAAGCAAGGAAGAACTCCAAGATTTCTTCCACCCCGGCACGGGCCCTCCGCTTCCGCGGTCACGTCTTTAGACCTGACCCTTGCCAGGAACAGCGCAAGTTCTTCCACACTTTTCATACCAGTCAGATGGTAGCCCATCATCATCATTCCCAAGCCAAGTCAGGAACAGCGAGATCGACTATACAGTACACATCAGAGGGGCACAGTACATAGCGAAGCCCACTAGCGCGAGAGTATTCGAAAGAACTTTAACGGATTCTCACTACCGGCTCAGGCGTTGAAATTTCACCTCCTCGAGCATATACAGCCAAGACCGACCGGAGAAGACTCTCCTGGGTTGTCATTACCTAGTAAAAAACCAAAGGTGCAGCACCATAGGTTCCAGCTCTCTCGCGTCGGGTATTATCCGTACAAATGTAACCAAGGGAAGGCTAGCGAAGGCCGAAGGCTTGTGGTGTAGTGTAAATAGTCCCCCAGCGGGCGAAGTGGCACTAGTTTTTTTCCCTCCCCTCCCCCTCCTCCTGATCGTCGAGTTTTCTTCACACGCGTAATTTCTCCTAGAGGTAATTTCCGATTGGCAAAAAACTATACCTCAACCAGTACTAACCTAGCTCCTTCAAGTATGTTTTGCTTGCCCAAGTAAGTTGATGGTTCAAACATTAGATCGCGGCTGTCTGGCACACTCTAATCTTGGCATTGCGACCTCCGTACAGATTCAGGGGTGGGTAGGCAGAGTGTAGACAGAGGTCAAGTTTACAAAGAGGCTGGTATCCGCCCATTGCATGCCTGGAGTATTTGGCAATGTGTGTCAGCAAAGATCCAGAACGCGAAAATAGATACACATCGATACTCGCCCAACACTCTTGTTTCGTCTCATCGCCTCAGACCCGTTTACCGTGAGAATCGGGAGAATCGGGAGAATCACACGCCGCACTCAACATGGTGCTCTATGAGGACCGCGGACCGAACGTAGCCGCGGCTGTCATCACGATGGTGAGTCGTCCAACATCCTCTTCCAATTCCACGGCGCTTCTGTCAAGTTGTCGTTTCGTATCACCGGGCTGACTTTGTCTCATAGTAAGTCAGAAACAGGGTGTCTCTTGCTCCCGCAGTATCTATCTTCTGGATGATACCTACCAGACCCTCCCCTTCCTCGCGTTGGACGCCCATATCATCAGCGTCACTTTTACCCCAATATTTACCTACCATCCGTCTCCGGCAACATCTTTTCTAGAAGCATGCCACAGTTGGGAATTCTCAGCATGCTTACTTTAGTTTTTCTTTAATCAGATGTGTTCTCGGCTACATCACTTACGTTCTCCGAGTCTACACCCGATTACGATATGCAGCATGGGGGATAGAGGACTGGTGCATGACCGCGGCACTACCTTGCTTTACCGTGCTTTCGATAGGTTGTATTGCTTGCGGCTTCACAGGTATTGGCGCCACGAATGCAACCCTGGCACTGCCGGAGAACCAAAAGTACCATGAGATAGGACTATTCGTGAGTGAACGCCCCTAACAGCACCGCTCCCAACTTGGAAGAAGGATAGACGGCTGACTACGTGGTGTGGGAGATTAGTGGTTCTTCATGTTTGAGGTTTTTTACTGCGTCAACATCATTCCTGTCAAGCTGTCCATTAGTCTGGCCCTCATTCGAATCGCCGAGGTTCGTCTCATACAATCCGAAACATCTCGGCTGCTCGTCGAGATACTAACGAGGTGGTCGGAACAGAACCGAAAAGGTTTTATTTATGTGCAATACGGTGTCATGACAATGTTCACCATTATGAACATGATTGCGGGTCAGTAGTACTTGTAGCCGCCCTTTCCAGTGTCGGCTATCATACTCGACGTCAGGGGATTCTTTGGCTGACCACGCGATACTCGTTCCACCACAGGCTTCTACATCATCTTCCAATGCAATCCAGTCAGCGCGGCCTGGGATACAGATGCCATACAGGATGGGGCGAAGTGTAACCCCGCGGAGTACTTGGCGGACATTTACTGTGAGTCGCGTGCAGAAAAGACAAGAGATATCGATTTCCTACCTATATATACTTACCACGGATGCGTTCACCAGATGCCACAACTGCGGTCAATATCTTTACAGACTGGGTCACTGCTTTCATGCCTATCCCGCTGCTCTGGAACGTTCAGCTGAACCGAAACACCAAGATTTCTGTTATTTGCGTGCTGGGCCTGGGCTTCTTTGCCTCCATATCGGCCTGTGTCCGGCTCAAATATACCGTCAACCTCACAGCCCAAGAGAACTACCTCTGTACGTCCAGTTGAAGTGGATACTTGACTGCAGGACCATACTAACAGCCGATTGATTGTATCAGATGCACTTGCTGATATTGTGATTTGGGGTTATGCCGAGAGTATGGTTTTACCGATGATTCCGTCAGTTTTTTTTTCTGCTGTAATGCTAACTTTTTATTTTTTTCCGCCAGACGGCATGGGACTGATTGTAGGCTGCTTGATGACACTGCGACCACTCCTTCGCGAGGTATTGAGGTTGGGCGGCGACACTTCCCATAAACAGAGCAATGGCACAAGCGGTGCCGGCTACGGTTTCGGCACCAGGGGCACGCAGCGCCGCACCAACAATGAGCCCGATGACGACTACGAGCAGCCTAGCGACAGTAGGGGGCATGTGTCCTCCTCAAACGGCTACGGAAACGGCATAATCTTGACAGAGATCTCCGCGGGAGAACGCCAAGAAGACGACTACTCCAGCTTCGAGACGGAGAGTCAAAAGAAGATACTGATTACGGATGACGAGGCACCTGGAGGCATCATGGTAACTCGACATGTCAAGCTATCCCGCAATGATTAGGATAGACGGAATGGGCATGGAGGACGGGAGGCTGTCTTATTTGGAAGATTTGTGAATTGTTTGGGACTATTATAAGGCACAGCGTTAATAGAGATATCTTAGGTTCAACATGAGTGAAAAATACCACTCCTTTTTCTTCCCTTCAGACTTGATACAACGAAAGAAGTTTAACCTGGTTAAACCGCTTAATCATTTGGTACTTGTGGTTGCGACTGGTCGAACAGGGGCTTGTATCGCTACCAACCGATTGATGGCTCCTGTTGCCGGTGTGGCTGTGCCATTCTTGACGGCACTCGTCGCCAGCCAAGTAGAAAACCACCAAGTATCAGTGTTACTATTCCCAAAGCAACATGAAAGCATCTCCTGTTGGCGGGGAGGGGAAGGATGAGATTGTTACTGCATCATAGGTACCATTGCTACGCTATGCAGGTACCGTGTGGGTTAACGATTGTGCATGGGCATGGTGGGGTCTCAGTTGGTAGCGTGGAGTTATTAAGTTGACGGGGATGTAAGCACCGTTCGTTTTTTCAAGATTGGGGAGGAGGTCATTCTCAGCTTGGGATGGCAGCATTGAGAACACCAAGGGACGCAAGTGGTGCATCTGGAAGGGACTTGACGAGCTAATTTTTTAATTTTTCTTTCGCAAGGACCGAACAATGCACTCATGCGCGTTGTTCATATGGTAACATCGAGGACAGGCCCATCCAGTATCTCTTTGCCAGGGAAATGGTCCGCCATACATGACGATTGAGGGCAGCCCAAAATTTCCAATGGAATGCTCATGTCGAATACAGCATCGGAAATGAAGGCAGCTCATTCGGTCCAAGTAAATCAAAATGAGAATAGAGGGCACATATCGATGGAAGCCGATGTCCGTGGGGATCGGTTTGTCGAGAAGGAAATAGATTACGTGCAGCCTGTAGCAACCTCAAGTGTAGATCTTTTCTGGTCTGAGATGTGTAGCTCGCGTGGCATTCTACGCTGGAACGGTCGGACGGGAAGCTGACGTTCTCTTTCTCGTCTCTCTAGCTCTCTCTCTCTCTCTCTTTTCTTCTTTTCTTTTCCTTCAAGTCAATCATCAACGACGCAGGAATGGGAGTACGCTTGTCTTTTCCGGGGAAGTCATCATCCCTTTGCTTGAAGTCCATTGGAAGGAAGGTTTGAGATCTTACCTATCTGCATCGACTCTGCATCCCGTCTGCAGCTTCAGGGGAAGAGAGGCCGGCAAACTGAGATTGACAAGCGGGAAATAGTAAACAGCGACATGGTCGGTTGGGCCGATGGGAAAAATCAGAACGGAAGTTGCATCCTGGTATTTTTGTGGGAAAACCTTCGTTTATGTCGTATCGTGGCAAGGCTACTGGTGTACTGGGGCAACACCCACATCCCGTCACATCATTGCAGGGCAGCGATATGGACTTCTTTCTGCAATCTGCAAGCCCACGGCACGTACCTGCGTCAATGAAGGGCGCACGGCCTTCTTTCATTGGGATTGGTCCCGGGGAGCAGTAGGAAGGATTCGGGGAACTAAGTACACTTTGCACCAAAGTACACTACTAGTGTAGTTCCGCCTGGAAGCGCCTAGTAACTTGAAGTACACTTCCACTTACTATGGAGGAGGCTGTCTCGTTGTGGTTGACCTTCGTCACTCCAGCTTCGAATTACTCGAATGCGCGTTGAACCTTCAAATTGGGGCCTTTGTCTCGAGGCACTGTCATAGCCCACCGGTACTAATGAACCTGGCCTCTTTTTCCGAGTTTAATTGCGCCTCGAATCAGCCATGGTCCTCAGCCGTGTCTCGAGTGTGCGATTCGAGAATGGTTGTAGCAGGCTTCATTCAATTGTGATGTGTCGGAGGAACAGCGGCGAGCCATGTGATAACAGCACCCCAACCAAAACCTGATTGATTGATGTGGCCCCAGCAGGCCCATGCAAGGAAACCACGCCGTAGCTCGTAGGAGATGGATGTGCTTCCGATGCCCACTCAGTAGGCCGTGGATCCCATAGGGGACCTGATAGGTCGGGTGGGCCTCACAGCAAACGATTCTGAAGTGATCTGCATGTGCGAGAGGGCAATCGCAGTAAGTCGACACGAAAAAAGGCCGAGGAAAGGTCGAGATCGATGGGGTTGTGATGAGGTGGTGATGGGAGGGTTAATATCGAGCGGAGAAGATGCCGTTAGCGTTCAGGGCCTGGGTATGAGTGCGGATTGCGAAATATTTGCTGCTACCCCACGACACTACAACCCTGTCTTGTCACGGCCACGGCGTGACAACTCTCATTATTGCTCGAGGTGCCATGATGTCTGCCGGTGTCTCATCACCCATCGCCCGAGATCATTGTAGACTAGAAAAGGAAAGAAATAAAATCTGCAAACGCCCGTCGTTGACCAGTGATCACACGGGGGCAAAGGTAGTTGTCGTGTAAGGAAACCCCACGTGCTAAAGATCCCTTGTCTCTGGTCGTGGAGCCTTGCTAGCATGCCCCTGGGAGACGTGAATGGGCCGGGCCCAAAGCAGTCCTCCCCAATCGGCTCAGCTTCATTAATCCCAAAGTCGAATTAGTTGGGATGGAATTGCAGGAGACAGGAGTCCGGTGATGGTTCCCATCGTCAAATTGCATGTTCGCAAACAATGGTAATAATTCTCCTTCTTGGATAGAGCCCGAGAGCGTGCCATGGAACACAGAGCCGGAATCTACAAGCCAGCACTCTGGGACTGTGTGCCGCCATGGGAGGAAGGTGGTTACCAAGGTTGGTTGCAGATGGAGACAGAAAAAGAAATGGCGACGAACAACCCTGGGTCTCAGTTGTCACCTTCTGAGGGTTAAACCCACCTACTCATCTTTCTTCATAGCCCTGGGTGTCTTGGTTTCTGCTCATCTCGAGCTGCCCGTCCAGGTTTCTCCTCTTCCCCACGAACTCGGGGTCTTGCTTGTCGTCGTGCCCTTCCTTTGCTTTCTCTTCATTATCCTCCAGTTTCAACCTAACCCTGGGCCAGGCAATGAATGAGGCCCTGACGCTAACGCACCCAATACTGAAAACCCCTGAGTGCAGAGCGACGATTGGACAATCATTGTTTTCGTCGCTGTCCTACCAGACGTCTTCATTAAGCTTTCCCGTGCTTGCATCCACCTGCATCCTCTGGTATTCTCTAGATTGACGGCATCTGATTGGAGGTTCTCGATCTCCGCCGCTGGGGAAAGTATTGCGTCCCAGTCACAATCACAGCGACCTCGCAAGATTGTAGTGTACACCAACTACACCCGACCTCAGCCTTTACCTGGACTTACCGCCCCGCGCTTTTCACGCATAGGGAACGGGACTGCCCTGCATACGTCGTGTGTGCCACAGGGCAACTCAGCCAGGCCTTGAGGTTCCCGCTTGGTTGAAAGGTCCAAAGGGTCTGGGCATGAACTTCGCTTAGAGTAGGGCACCCGACAGCCGGCCCTTTCCCGTCTTTTAGTCTTTCTGCTCACTTCGACCTCTTGCATACTCAACCTCACGAGAACGTTCGCTGTTTTTCATGCTTGTCCATCATCAACAACAGTCGCCAACCTCCATAATCCAAAGAAGGTCCACCATACACACCGTGCTCCCCTGCTACTTACGTCGGTACTTCCCGCATCCGTGGACACTTAGAACTCCATCAAACCAACCACTGCCCAGACACTTCAGCGCCGTCCGATCTTTTTGCGCTGTCCCCTCCACACCTTCACAACTGCACTCCACGGTCTTCCGTACTAGCATCATCCGTTTGGCGACACTCACCGACCACGAACAAGCAATCGACGACAACCCAGACTGCGGGACGCAACCGATTCGTTTCCTTGCAAAGCACGATTCACTTCGACGACCACGAAGCCACTCAATCCGTGTTATTTCGCGCCGTATCAGCCCACGTTTCTTGCCGTCCCCGTCCTCTGTCTTGGAATAGGGAGTCTTGCGAAATATTAGTCGGCACATCTTCCGCCGCCGTTCGGTCGACCACGTTGCTACACCTCCTTTTCGTGGCGGCTGCAGAACTCTGAAAGAAACTGTCGCAGATCATCGGCGCCATTTCTGCGCTATCCTACGATCCTTCGACCCGCCCCTTCCTTCGGCGTAAGTAACCAGACACATTTTACCGCCTGCACATGTCTCGGTCGGGGTTGCCAAGTGGGATGAACAAGCCCGTGCGGTGTGCCTGAGCGTTCTTGAGAGTCGACGTACATACTACCTGATACCTTCAACTGCGGTTAGGTGACTCCACAGCGTACACCACTGGCATGTTTGTTTCGTTTCGATTCCCGCCTTCCGCAATGTCTAAACACCGGGGCTCCAAGTTCTTCCAAAGCCCCAGCTGCATGGCACTAACAATGTGTTCCTGTGTCTAGGCTCAAGTCCGGTCCATATCCTATGAATTTCTGCTTGGATCCCACCGAGCACCGTTTCATAAGAACAAAGTCCGACCCAACGCTTCGGTCCACGGCACAACCGGTGCCGGTGTAGACGTATCACGTACCTGGCCCAGTGCTTTGTACTCGAGTCTTCAGCTCGGCTAAGCTGGTGGTACACGTAACTAAAACCCACTTGATGGACATCGTCAAGCTTCCGGTCGATTTGCGGCGATAAAACCAACCAGACAACGAGAGCCCCATCGCTAAAAGTGGCTTGTGCAGGATTTGCAACTCACCCCTGCTGAATATATTCACACCTCACAATGTCTAGCACAGTACCAAAGCCGGCCCGGCTATCAAGCGGGCCACCCAACTCCGCTGTCCCTGCGCTTTCTATGGGCAAGACGCGGAAATCCATAGGCGGACTATCCGTTTCAACCAACACTGCGATGCCATCAACACCCAAATCTGGTGTTCTTCGAACCCCATCAAGCGCTTCCAACTTCCGCAACTCTACAGCATCACCAGCAACTGGCGGAGGCCTTCCTCAGCCGCGCGCCGTTTCTTCCATCAACGCTTCATCCAAAACACTGAGGAAATCCGTCAGCATAAACTCGTTTCCG